GACTCCTGTCTTTTTTACTTCTATCTCACACAACATCACAGTCCTTACAAAATGGCACTCTTTTTGTCTAATTCCATTCTTCCTTTCCTCACTGTATCAGCCATTCCTTGCCATCTGCCAAACACCAGTCACCCATCCACCTCTGAGTTTCTAGACTAGCTGTTGTTTCTGCTTCAAATGTCCTCCATCAGAAATCCCCATGGCCTACAATTTTGACAAATTAAGGTCTGTGTCCAATCATTCAACTCTCTTTTCAGTGAGATGACCCATTGCAACACTGTTACCTACCTTTTATTCCCTCTCTACAATTTCTAGCTTAGTGTTCTTTATAGCATATATTACTTTCTCAAGTCCTTTATTTTTAAGTGTTTATTTCACTATTGTCTGAATTTCACATTATATAAACTCTATAAAGGGAGAAATTTCTGTTATTCTTCGCTATATCCCAATACTAGAATAGCCCCTGGCATGTAGTAGGAGTAAAGATACTGTATATATATGCCCCTATCTATTTGTTTGCACAAATGTAGAAGAAAGCTAAAAAAAAAAATGTATCAAATTGAAAAAAAAATCAAATTGTTTCTAGTGGTTATTTCTGGGGGAGAGTGGTACTGGAGGAAGGATGAAGGGAACCTTTCCCATTTTACTTCATATTTTACTGTGTTGCTTGAATTATATTTTATAACAAGTCAAATTTTTTTAATGTTCCTGAATCTCTTCCAAGTAAAAAAGACATATCAGATAGGGTAACAAAACTCAAAAACTATGGGCAATATCTACAACAAAACTATGCAAGAAAGTATTCCCAAGAACCTTAAAATATAAGCAGGTAGGGCAAACAATTCAGTTACAAGATCTGTGTATCAGCATGTCATGGGACGAAGCTAAAGAAGCAATAGATCATCTGACTGACCTGAGAACAGGATCCAAAGACCCCACAGGTACTCACTGGAAAGCTGAGCAGACCAATCTCATAATAGCAGCTAAAACTGGGAAGCATTTTTATACATTCCAGTTCACAGGGATGGGCAAGGGTTTCTGTAGCAGATCTGGAAATGTCAGAGCACTTTATGAGCTTTCAAAGGTAACTGGAGCTTCCTTTCAGGAAAAAGTCCTACACTAAAGAGAAACTGCTAGTTGTATATTCCAAGATAAGACGAGAAAGATCATAGGAGAAAAGGAAAACCAAAGTCCAGGAAAAACTGGGGGCGAGGGGTGAAGGAAAAGAATCATATCTCAGAAAATATGAAATGACATTTTTTATCACTGTGTTATAACAAAAGAAAAGGGAGCTTCAGACCCTCAAAGACCTTCTACTCCTTACTGAAATTTCAGGAGTGCAAATTTCATATTAAAATAACCAAGCAAATGGATCATGTTTGACTGTCATACAAAATTACAATGAGAAATAAAGAAATAAGATGTAAAACAAAATCCCTACAATGAAGTATGCCAGAAAGACATTCCCACCAAAGGAAGAAATTGTATCTTTATATTTCAAATTGAGATAAAAGCAATCAAGGCAACGATAAAGACATGAAAGAAAAATATATATCACAATTAGAAAAACTCAGAAATGAGGTGATGGAACCCAAGAAAGAAAGAAAAATAAAAGAAAACAGAATTCTTTAAATTTCATTTTTCTGCTTTTATTTAATACCAGTTAGTAAAATACGTTTAATAATAGTTGCAGGTCATACAGTGTAATGTTAGTTAATTTATAGTGAATCAACACTTCCATACGATACCTGGTGCCCATCACAAGTGCACACCTTAATCCGCATCACTTATTTAACCCATCCCCCCATCCACCTCCCTTCTGGTAACTGTCAGATTGTTCTCTATAGTTAAGACTGTTTCTTGGAATGCCTCTCTCTCTCTCTTTTCCCCTTTGCTTGTTTCTTAAATTCTACATATGAATGAAATCATATGGCATTTATCATTCTCTGACTGACTTGTTTTTCCTAACTTAATAGTTTCTAGCTCCATCTGTCATTGCAATTGACAAGATTTCATTCTTTTTTAATGGCTGAATAATACTCTGTTGTATATACCACATCCATCAGTCAATGGACATTTGGGCTCTTTCCATAATTTGGTTATTGTAGATAATGTTGCCATAAACACTGAGATGCATGTATCATTTTCAGTTGGTATCTTTGTATTCTTTGAGTAAATACCCAGTAGTGTAATTTCTGGGCCATAAGGTAGTTCTATTTTTAACTTTTTAAAGAGCCTCCATACTGTTTTCCACAGTGGCTGCACCAGCTTGCATTCCTACCAACAGTGCAAGAGGATTCCCCTTTCTCCACATCCTCCCTAATGTCTGTTGTTCCTTGTGTTGTTGATTTTAGACATTCTGACAGATGGGAGGTGATATTTCTCTCTAATTTTGGTTTGCATTTCCCTAGTGATCAGTGATGTTGAGCATCTTTCCATGTGTCTATTGGCCAAATGTATGCATTCTTTGAAAAATGTCTCATGTCTTCTGTCCATTTTAAAAATGGGTTATTTGGGTTTTGGGTGTTGAGTTTTATAAGCTCTTTATACAGCTTTGGATACTAACCCTTTATTAGATATGTCATTTGCAAATATTTTCTCCCATTTCATAGGTTGCCTTATACTTTTACTGATTATTTGTTTTGCTGTGTAGAAGATTTTTATTTTGATGAAGTCCAAATAGTTTATTTTTGCTTTTGTTTCCCTCACCTCAAGAGACAGATTTAGAAAGAAGTTGCTATAGCCAGTGTCAGAGAAGTTACTGCCTGTGTTTTTTTCCAGGATTTTTATGGTGTCAGGTTCTCACATTTAGGCCTTTGATCCATTTTGAGTTTATTTTTGTGTATAGTTTAAGAAAGTGGTCCAGTTTCATTCTTTTGCATATTGCTATCCAGTCTTCCCAACACCATGCATTGAAGAGACTTTTTCCCTTTGGATATTCTTTCCTGCTTTGTCAAAGATTAATTGGCCATATAGTTGTGGGTTCATTTCTGGGAAAAGAAAACAATTTTAAAAGCAAACCAGAAGGAACACAGAATAAACATGACAATATAACAGATGCCTCCAGAGAAAAAGAGGAACAAAAGGAGGACTTTTAAATAAAAGCAATGAAAAGCCAGCATATATATACATAATGAAATTTCCTGAAAAAGAAAACCAAAGTAATATATTAAAATGGTATCACAATTAAATTATTTATTTAGTATTTTTTTAAATTTATTTACTTATTTTAGAGAGACAGAAACAGTGCAGTGTTGGGAGGGGACAGAGGGAGAGGGAGAAAGAGAATCTCAAGCAGGCTCCACGCTGCACAGGGCTTAACCTTAGGACCCTGAGATCATGACCTGAGCCAAAATTAAGACTCAGATGTTTAACTGACAGAGCCACCCAGATGGCCCTTTATTCAGTACTTTAATAAATACTAGGATCATAATTACATTTTCTGAAGTCAAAAGGCTTGAAATTACATGAAAACACATTGAATATTTGGCAAAATTACCTAGAATAACCAACATGAAACATATTTTAGAAACCTACTGGACTTTGAAGAAAAAGAAACTTTTTTCAAGCATCCAGGTAAAAGACCAAATTATTTATAAGAGAAAGAAGTTCAGTACGTTATCAGTTTGGGATACTAATTCTTTCTTTATTTTTTTTTTTAAAGGTTTTGTTTATTTGTTATCCTGGGACTCTAGGATCTTGATCTGAGCAGAAGACAGTCGCTTAACCAACTGAGCCACCCAGGCGCCCTGGGATATTAATTCTTTATTCCAAAAGAAAATGAAATGATGTTTTAATGGCACTCAAAAAAGGAAATGTAAGGGCTGCCTGGGTATTTCAGTCAGTTAAACATCTGCCCTCAGCTCAGGTCATGATCTCAGGGTCCTGGGACAGAGACCTATGTCAGGCTCCCTGCTCAGCAGGGAGTCTGCTTGTCCCTCCAATCCCACCTCCCCACCGTCCCCACCCCCAGCCACTTGTGCTCTCACTCCCAAATAAATAAATAAATAAAATCTTTTTTTAAAGAAAAGAGAGAAATATGAGCCAAGGATGATGTATCCAGCCAAAATGATTTTCAAATCAGTCCATAAACTATTGTCAACACCCAAAATTCAGAAACATATTTCTTTGAGCAATTTCTGAGGAACTTACTAGAGAATGAGCTTCATATAGTCAAAATGACAAAGATGCAGACATAATGCCTGGCAGAAAATTTAAGATTCAATGCTAGAAGAGAGACTTTGTAGTATGTATAGTACAGATATTATAAAATGTAGATACAATAGCTCTATAAAAAAATGGAAGTGGAAAAGGAAGAACATATGAAGAACAGAATAAGGACACCATTTGCTTTATAATATTAACTGGGATCAAAAGGACAACACTGCAAATCAGATACTGAAGAAGGTACAGAGGAGATAAAGAACATTATATGAAGACATTTATATCATTAGAACATAATTGAAAACCTCAAATACAAGAAATAAAAAAAGACTTTAAAAAGCAGAAACACATCAAAACCAAACCAAAGAAAAATAAAATAAAAAAGCTATAAAAGTTAAACCATATATTTTTAAATATTTAAATATGGGGAAGAGAAGGAATAATACAGAGATTACAAGGATAGGTGCTCGTTTCTTGAAATATACATTGCTCTATAGTTTTAACTTCTGGAATTATTTAAATACTTTAAATAATTATAAACTAAAATTAAATTTTAAATGAGTCATTTCTAAAAATAGAAAAAAAGCCTAAAATAAGGTAAAATACAAAATTACAATTAGTTTTCTATTTCATCACGTGCTTTTCTTTTATATCTGCTAACAATTCAAGATGTGGACTTGGGGTTTCTAAAAATAACGTTTAATAGTTGGGCTCCGAATAAACAGACATGGTTCTTGAGGTTTTCCTCCACTTTTAACAAACACAAGAAAACAAATCTTAAATAAAATGAGTCAATTCAGGGAAATGTTACTATCTTTTCTTTTTCATTTCCTTAGGAAAATAAAGGAAAGTCTGGAGTGCTTCCCTGTTAAGTTAAATAACTTGATCCATACACTTGCACAAATGACAGCCATAAACCCTGCTAAATCTACTTCACCGACTTTGCCCCAGGAATCCTGTATGCTGAATGTAACCAGGTCAATTCAGAGAGCAACAATTTTAGGGTTCAGCAAGAAAACAAGTCATGTAAGTCTCAACTCTGTTATTTTGACTTAAGTATCATTTGACTTCATCTCAGACTTCCCTTCACTATGCTACACATCCTTCCTTATATCATAATTTTTTTTACTATGCAAATGAAAAATCAGTGACAGTTTGAGCAGAAGTGCCATTAAAAGAGAATGTTCTAAGGAGAAATCATAACAACCAGAGCTATTAGTAGAGAACCATCAAAGAGAACAGTTCCTGCCCTGTGGTAGACTATAAATCAAGAGCTAATTAAAATGTCCACATGAAGAAAAAAAAAAGAGCAGAAATTAGGCAGTCTGTTCCCAGCACATAAGATTATGATATTTTTGTGTACTGTATTTATAAGTAATTTTGCCTTTACAAATTGCATCTCTTAGCTCTTGCGATGGCTTTTTGCAGAAAGGTTCTTGCTTTGTTTAGCTCACATGAAACCAGATTTTAAAGTGTATCACAGGTTGATAATGCCACCTTTTGATTTTTGTCTGTTTATTTTCTGCAGCTGTATCTAATCCGGGTGACACACAGTAACAATGAAACAAGCCTGACGGAAAAATCATTTGACCAGTTTTCAAAACTTCACAGCCAACTTCAGAAGCAGTTTGCATCATTGACTCTCCCAGAGTAAGGCACTATGCTCCCCAGTGTTTTGCCTGCAGTACTTGTCCTTGAACATGAGGAAAAATTATGGTTATGGGGTTTTCTATTTGTGAGCAACACAGCATTCTGACTCCAATGCCATTGAACCTATCCCAGCAGAGTCTATATTGCTCCCAGAATAAAGAAACTTTGTCTCATAAAAGAGAACAAGTTTTGCAATTTCTCTGTTTGCTTCAAGCCATTGATTTTGTAGACAGAAAAATCCAGAAGCGATTTAATTTTTCATCAGTTATCAGGAAAATTGTTTTATTTGCCTGTTTTTAATAAAATTGAAATTGAAAATGCAGAACTAAATTGGATATATCTACTCTTTCAACAAATAACTACAGTAAAAAGTGCTGCTATATTTATTTCCTGTACCAGAAAATAACTCATTAATATCAGTTAGTATATAAGTAAAATGTACTAATACCAACTCACTTTGTTGTGAATTATTAACTTTGACTTGGATTATCTAAATTTAATTTATTGTTATGTTCATTGTCAGACAATCTTGGAAACCATTGCTTTTGTTCATATTATAATTTTAAAAACACTAAACAAAAACACATTAAGAATATAATTGAAAATTACTTCTGTTCAAACAAACCTGCTAAAATTCATCACTTAGAACTAACCAAATTTAGGTCATAGACTTCATTCAGTGTATACCAAAGGAGTATCTTGACTTTAAAAAGATTTAACTTGCCAGAGATTCTCTTGGCACTTAAGGTAAATCAAATGTTATTTTGTCTTTTTACTGAGATTTTTGTTAAGTAAATGGTCCTTTAACAATGTGAATGTCCATGTCTGACCTAACATATTTTTTCTTAATTAACATATAATGTATTAGTTGTTGCAGGGGTGCAGTTCTGTGAGTCATCAGTCTTACACAGTTCACAGCACTCACCGTAGCACAGACCCTCCCCAATGTCCATTACCCAACCACCCTATCCCTCCCACCCAGTCTCCCCTCCAGCAACCCTCAGTTTGTTTCCTGAGATTAAGAGCCTCTTATGGTTTGACCTGACATACTTTTTACATGTGGATTTTTGCCAGGCTTTTAGGATTTAATCCCTTTCTAGAACATACCTCTAAGCAAAGTTATCAATGGATGGAGAGATACTGTGCAATACTGAAGAGTGAAGTACTTCGTGTTTATGAAAAACAGTGCTTGCAGATGTCACAGGAATTTTGAAATACAGATGCTTTAAGCATCAGGAGGTGAACAAATTAAGAGCATGTTCAAGAGACTGAGAGGGAGGCATGTTATTATGAAAACTTAAAAGCAGCACCAGCTTTAAGAATTACCAAAAAACATCTGATAGAATAACAGAAAAGGTGCTAGCAAAAAAAGTGCAAAGTTTGACTGCAAATGTCAACTTCAGCATCAGTGGCTGCCATTGTACGATTACTAAATAATAAAATAAATACAATAAAATAAATAAAATCTACTAATTAGTGATTTTATTGTATTTTTTAAAAAAGACTTTATTTATTTATTTGACAGAGATCACAAGTAGGCAGAGAGGCAGGAAGAGAGAGAGGAAAGGAAATAGGCTCCCTGCTGAGCAGAGAGCTGGATATAGGGCTCTATCCCAGGACCCTGGGATCATGACCTGAGCTGAAGGCAGAGGCTTAACCCACTGAGCCACCCAGGTGCCCCTAGTTAGTGATTTTAAAAAAATGTTGGTCAAAAAAAAAAAAAAAATGTTGGTCATTGTTAAGTTACTGCCCTTTTTGGTTTTAAAAACTACTCTGTTTTATACTTTTATCTGTGTACTACATATTAGGACAACTTGTAAGACATTAAAAGTGTTAATAATCTCCCTCCATATGCCTATTCTCAATTTTCAGCTTTCCTTAGGATTATGCGTTGCTCAACAACTACTGCCTGGTATTTAAATTGATTTTAAAACCATTCCAGCAATGTGTATGTGTGTGCATGTGTGTGGTGGGGTGGGAGGCATATAGTTCCTGTATGCCCTTGACAATATTTGTATGTTGACAGTCCCAAAGGAGCTAAGGCTTCCATTGATGCATATAAATGAAGGATGAAAGTAAGATTTCCTCTGACTCCTGAATTTACTCAGAGAAACCCTACAAGAATTATGTAAACCTGATCTCAAGAGTATGATCAGAAAGTTAGAGTCATAAAGAATAAAATTTAAATTAGTCATAGCATATAATAGTGGTCTTCAAAGAAGACTGTTCATACCTCTGGGTACCTTCCAAGAATACACAGGCATGGAAATCTTCTGTAAAATTAATGGTCTTCTCTAAAATTAACCTGCTTAAAAAAGGTGGACTTCCTTTCCCTTTCTGCTTTCAACATTGCTCTTCTCCCAGCCATCCAGAATCTCCCAACCATCCAGAATTCCTAGAGAGGAAAAAATCTTTGAGAATGAAATAAAAGGCAAACCAAAACATTAGTCCAATACCAATATTGAAAAAAAGGAATTATTGTAATAATCAGATATCAAATCTCTTTGCAACTCAAGAGTTTCCTAATCTTTGGCCTGAACAAAACAGAGGCAGGACATGATGTCATTGTCCGATGAAAGATCATGAAAAATCATTCTCACAAAATGATTGCTATATTATATGTGGCATACAACTCAAAAATATTTCAACAATTGAATGACATTACTATGGCTAAATTTCTCAATTCTCTTGTGCTTAATTATATACAAGACTTTTAGTACATACCTCTGTAAAAACATAAACAAAGGAATAGAACTGATGTTGAACTCCATTTTCTTTTAACAATAAGGAAAATGCATCTGCAGATATAAAAATTGGTATTTAAAACCTGCCCAATCCATCTGTTTATCAAACGCATTTCTGATTTGGTTAATTGTTTATCAACGTTGTGATAATCAAATGTGAATGAAAAATGTTAGTACTCTATGCCTTCGAACTGCAGGAAAACTTTTTAAAAATAAAATGTCAATTATTTAAATCCACAAACATTATTTTGGTTTTCCTTAACATTTCTAACAAGAAGCAGTGAATGGAATGGCCTGCATTGATACCTGCATACGTCTGTGTTTGCTGACAGCCTTTCACTATTCCTCCTGCTCCTTACCCTAGGAAAACACCTACACCAAAGAAACAGAAGTGTGAAGGAGGCAGCAAGCAGCAAGACACAGTCAGGGGAAGCTGCTGGGTAGTTGCAAAAAAGATGTATTTAGCCAGCAAAATATTTTACCGAATGCTAACCATTAAAAGGTCATTCCACTTAGTAATTGGTCTTAATCACATCTAACCCATCAAGATGAATCATTGGATACTGCAGAGGGAGTTCTGCAAGTTAGACTCTTAAGGAAAGTGATACTTTGCCCCAAAAGACTAAGACCAGATGGAAACATATGTCACTTGGTAAATTGTTTAATTTAGTTAGTGTAGAAATATCTCTAGCAAACCCAAAACAAACAATACAATCTGACCTTTTTCAAAAATTATGAATCATTAATTTCTGAAAATATTTATTAAGCCTCCATATATATTTAAAGGACAAAATGTGTGGTCTTCTATAAACACGGCAAGAAAGAACATATATATTAATATGTTAAATTAAATTAGTATTAATATTAATAAAAGTTAAAATAGCACAAGTGACCACAACCATGTTAATGAAACCCTCAGGGTCAATGATGTGTTTCATTTATAAAAAAAATATTTTCATTGGCCCTTCAGTCTGATGCTATAAATTCATAAACAACCTAAGAAGCAAATTTTCAAACTAATGAAGATAACTTTTTTTTAAAACAGGTTTCCTCATTGGTGGCACCTACCTTTTACAAATTCAGACCACAAAAGATTCAGAGACCTAAATCATTACATGGAACAGATATTAAATGGATCATACGAAGTTGCAAACGTATGTTACAATTTACCTTTATGTTTTTTATAAAAATTTCCACTATTTTATGTATTATTACTAGAAATCTTTATAAATATACTTAATGATAACATTATTGTACTCATATTCATTCAACAAATGTGCATGCCAGAAATGTATAAAATTCCTGAACAGAAAACTGGAACAGCAAAAAAGATATATAGCACCTTGACCTCAAATAATGAAATAATATGTGATTAGTGGACTATCAAGGCTAGGAAGTGCCCTAGATTTGGGGGGATTAAGAATTATTTATGACTGTGATAGTAAAAAGGATTCAAAGAGAGCATATGATCTTAATCTTTAACAACAGGTAGGATTTTTTTTTAATGTATTATTTGTTTCAGGGGTACACGTCTGTGATTCATCAGTCTTTTATAATGCCCAGTACTCATTACAACACGTACCCTCCCCAGTGTCCATCACCCAGTTACCCTATCCCTCCACACTGCCCCCCTCCCCCCCACCCCACCCCAGCAACCTTCAGTTTGTTTCCTATGATTAAGAGTCTCTTACGATTTGTCTCCCTCTCTGGTTTGTCTCCCTCTCTGGTTTCATCTTGTTTCATTTTTTCCTCTCTTCCCCTATGGTACTCTGCCTTACTTCTTAAATTCCTCATGAGTGAGGTCATAGGGTTTTAAAAAGAGTTGGCCTAAGGAAGTATTTCAAATAGAACCAAACAATATAGGAAAGGTCATAAGTGAAAAAAGAAGAAGAAGGGATATCGTTAGATTCTGTTGCTCCTGTGATAAATTATGACAAATTTGGAAGTTTAAAACAACACAGGTCTATTTTTTTTTCAGTGCTGAAACTCAGAATCCTGAAAATGGGCCTTAAGAGACAAAACTCAAGGTGTTGGTAGGCTGGATCTTTCGGGAGATAGGGGGGAAAAATTCATTTCCTTGCTTTTTCAGTTTCTAGAGATTTCCTGCATCCCTTGGCTTGTGCCTTTCCAGCAATTGTACATTCTGACCTCTGCTTCTGTCATCACATCTCCTTCTCAGACTCTTAGTCTGACTCTCCTTGCGTTTACATGGGACCTACCTGGATAATCCAGGATAATCTCACCATTTCAAGATTGTTAATTTAATGTTATCTGCGAAGCCCCTTTTGCCATGTAAGGTAGTACATCTTCACAGGTCCTGGGGATTAGAATGCAAACATCTTTGGAGGGCCATTATTCTATCACAGAGATCCATGAAAAAGTGCAAGAACACAATTCAGTAAGATGTCAGCATTCTTGTGAGGTATCTGTGAAAAGAAGACTAAAACCAGCAAGGAAGTCAGGGCCAGGTTGTCAAGAGCTAGAGCTAAGCCTTGGAGGGTAGTGAGAACCTAAAAACAATAAAAAGAATAACAAATATAATAAGAATATTCTTCCAAATATATATTGACCTTTTTTCTCAACAACCGATTATTCCAGATCCTGGCCCTCTTTACTGAACTGGAACTACATTCTTTTCAATTTTTAGCTTTTAAAATTGTATACATGCACACATGTATAACATGTATCCAGAAAAGTCTACAGAAGATTTGGTAGAAGGGACACCACCCTGCTGGTGCCCAGCTGATGTTTCAGACAGCAGCTAGCATCAACATCACAGTATTTTGAGTGGATGACCCAGCTCCAATCACCAAATGACTGTTTATTAGAGACCTCAAGCCAGAATACCATGGGTGAGCTCAGCCAAACCCCAGAACTGGGAGATGACAAAATGATTGTTTAAACCAGCAACGCAGGGATAGACTGCATCTAAGATATGTGGATTTTCATTGTTATCTAGCATTCTGTTACATGAAGGTATTGCAATGAATAGGTTCCTCTCTACACAGACATTTGGAATGTCTCCAAGTTGGGGTTATTAACAAATGATGCTATTATGAACATTTCTTTTACTTGTATGTCTCTTCATGCACCCGGGTTGGTGATTCACCTAGGACAGAATTTCTGGATCTTAGGATATGGTTATCTTAAACATTATAGGCTCCTGCTTGCGGTAAATAAGTGTTCCCATTTTCCACAACCTTGTCTGTACCGGGTATTGCCAGTCTTCCTAATTTTAGCCATTCTGGTGAGTGAGCATTTCATTGCATTTTAGTCTGTATTTTCCTAACTACTAATGTGATGGAACACCTTTTCATGTGTTTGGTCCTTTGGATATCCTCTTTGGTGAAGTGCCAGTTTATGTCTCTTGCCCTTTTACTATTAAATTATATGACATTCTTTTACTGATTTATAGTATTTTTCATACATTGTGGATAGAAGTCCTTTGTTAATTATATACATTGTAATTATTTTTTTTACTCTGTCTTTTGTCCCCTTGTTCTTTTTATTATGTCTTCTGATAAATTCATTTTAATAGAGTAAAATGTATTGTATTTTCTTATATGATTAGAACATGCCCTACCTCGATGTCATAAAGGGAGTTTCCTTTATTATTTCCTAGAAGCTTTGTTGTTTTGCCTTTCCCATTTAAACCTACAATCTGCCTGGAGTAGACTTTAGTGCATGGTGTAAAATAAAAGTCATCTTATTTTTTTTTTCCATGTAGATTTTGAATTGTTCCAATACTATTCAAAAGGCTTTCCTTTTCTTGTTATTCTGCTGTGCACCTTTATAATAATTTAAATATCCATCGACGTATATGTCTACTTCAGGCTTTTATGTTCTATGCCACTGATCTCTTTATCTACCCTTGTGCCAACAGTCTTAATTACTGTAGCTTTATCATAAGTCTTGAAATATAGTGGAATAACTTCTCCTATTTTATACTTATTCTTAAGCAGTATTTTGGCCCTTCTTGGACTTTTGCATTTTCATGTAAAAATTTTTTTTTTAAAGATTTTATTTATCTAAGAGAAAGAGAATGAGTGGGCAGGGGGGAGGACGGGGAAAGAGGGAGAGAGAAGCAGACTCTTTGCTGAATAGGGGGTTTGATGCATGGCTCCATTCCAGAGATCATGGACCAGAGATCATGACCTGAGCCAAAGGCAGATGCTTAACCTACTGAGCCTCCCAGGCACCCTGAAATTTTAATTACTTTTTTGTCAATTCCATGCAGAAGACAACTAGGATTTTAGTTAAAAATGCATCTTGATATACTCTAACCCACAATCATGTACCTATTTAAATCTTTAGAAAAATTTTTACTCAATAATAACTTATTGTCATATGCATAAAGATTGTAAAATAATTATTTTACTTGATATCTTATTACACCTTTTTAAAATTCTATTTTGTTCTTTTTGCCAGTATATAGATATAACTCATTTTGTATATTGACTGTTTTTTCAACAATCTTACTAACTTCACTTCTAATTCTAATAACTTATTTGTATTTTTTTATATTTCAATTACATCATATTGTCTGCAAATAACAGGTTTATTTTTTTCTTTCTGATATTTATATTTTATATTTCTTTTTCTGGCTATTTTGATTGTGCAGGGCCTCCAAGTGGTGATGGCAGATATGCTCATGTTATTTCTGGATTCAGAGAAGAAGTTTCTCATTAAGTACACAGGTTTTGTAGGTACCCTTTATTATTTTAAGAAAGTTTCCTTATGTTATAAAAAATTTTTTTTGACAGTAAAGAAAATTGAATTTATCTAGTTTTTTTTTTTCTTTTTTTTTTTTCTGAATCTATTGGGCTGATCAATGATCACCAGAGAGGAAGGGAAGCAGGCTCCCTACTGAGCAGAGAGCCCAATGCGGGGCTCAATCCCAGGACCCTGGGATCATGACCTGAGCCAAAGGCAGAGGCTTTAACCCACTGAGCCACCCAGGAGCCCCTGATTTGACATTTCTTTAGCATTTGTTTTTAGCTTTGTTAATGACAAAGATATTCTATCTTATAATGTCCTTACCAGGTTAGAATGGAGAATATCCTGGCCTCATAATATTAGTTGCAAAGACTTCTTGCTTTTCTTCTTTTCTCTGGAAGAGTTTGTATAAAATTGGTTTTATTTCTTTAATTTGTAAAGCCATGTAGGTCCAGAGATTCAATTTATTTAAGAGTTATAGGACAATTCACATTTTCTATTTCTTGCTGGGTCTAAGTTATAGTTCTCTAGGAATTTGTGCTTATTTATTGGCATAAAATTATTCAGAGCATCTTCTCCCAATCTTTTTAACACTTACAGGATCTGAAAAGATGTCTACTCTTCTCTTCCTCACGTATGTCATTTCCTAGTCAGTCTTGCCAGAGGATTATGAATTTTACCAATCTTTGCAAAGAATGAAATGTGGGATTTATTGACTCTATTATATTATTTTTCTATTTCATTTATGTTTGACCTTTATTATTTCCTTTCTTCTGCTTGCCTTGGTTATAATTTGCTGTTCTATTTATTACATTCTCAGATAGTTACTTGCTTATTTTCAACCTATCCTCACTTACACATTTAAAATTCTAAATCCCCCCACCTAATCAAGATTTAATCCACCCCACAAGTTTTTACATACAGTATTGTATCTTTGTTATTATTCTCTTAAAATATTTATAAATGTTTAGTGTGATTTTTCCTGTGACTGTGGATTAACTCTATCTAACCCAGTTGAATTTTATGTTATACTAATAATATATAGCTACATCTATATCCCATAAACTTAATAAGTATTATGTTGTTTTACACAATCAATATCTGTTTAATATTACCCACATATCTCATTTCCACTGTCATAACTGACTTTATATCTGATGCTGCTTTCCCTCTATCTGAAAAATACAATTTTTATTTTTTAAAATATGAATTTGCTACTAGAAAAAATTTCTAAATTTGTATTTATCTGAAAAGTTTTTGTCTTCATTCTCAAAGGATATATTAGCTGACTCTACTATTTGGATAGCAATGATTTTATTTTAAAATCTTTAAAGCTATTGGTTCATTGTCTTTTAGCATCCATTGATTCTGTTTAAAACCCACCTATTTTATTTGTTTCATCTTTGAAACTGTTTTTTCTTTATTCTTTAACTGCTAT